GGCGCTCCGTGCATCTCGGGGCCGGGCGCCACCGCCGAGGCTCTCGGTGACGTTTTTCCTCGGCGCGTCCCTTCCTGCGTCTCGATCTCGGCGACGCCGTCGGGAAGTCGAGGCGGCTCCTTTCAGGGAGGGCTCGGATCCGCCGCCTCCGGTCCGCCTCGCGTGTGCCCGGCACTAGTCGGATCCGGCAGCCCTTTGCCCTTCCTGGGTTCCAGCCTCGGAGGAGACATTTTGGTTTTTTTTACTCCATCTCTGAGAGGACAGCTGGGGACCTGGCGTTCTCGCACCCTGCAGATGCATCTGGTCCTCATGTCAGCGGCACCTCGGGTAGGCGGGCCCAGCCGGGAACCCTCGCAGGGACCCCGAGGCGGCCTGTTGCCCATAGAAGGACGGCTCGCTAGGCGTTCCTGCCCGGGAGCCCAGCCAACAGCGGACACAGTCCCTTCGGAGGGAAGAGCACCCCAGGCCCTCCCGGTCCCGGGACTCAATGACTAATGTTCCTTCCTATAGCTGTGAACCAATCGACTATAGTTTTTTTGTTTGTTTGTTTGTTTTTTTTTCCCCTTCCTTCCTGTTCGTTTTGTTTTTCAGACAAGGATCTCTTTGCCCAGGCTGGCCTGGAGTGATCCTCCTGTTTCAGCCTACATAGTACCTGGACAGCTGGCACCCGGGTGTGGTTTTATTTTTGCATTCCTGACAACAGCGGGGTTATTTGTACATTTTGTCAACCTAATTATGCAGACTTGAATAGTAATGCTGATAAGAATAAAGGTGAAGTCAGTTACTGGAAAGGAGAGATGTTCATTTGTTATGTGATCATATGCCTAACAAAAAAAGTTGTGAAATTAACATTTTCTTGAGCTGTATGTTTTTTTGTTCTTTTCCCCTGTACTGGGGATTGAACTCAGACTCTACTAGTGAACTGTATTTCCAACCCTCTTAAATTCGTATTATTTGTTATTGTTTTTTGAGATGGTCTCTCTGTGTAGTTTAAGCTGGCCTTAAACTTCTGACAGTCCTCCTGTCTTACCCAGCTAAATGTGGGATTATAGGATAGCGCCACCATGCCCAGCCTGGACTCCTTTTTATTTGGAGACAGTCTCCATAAATTACCAAGCAGGAGTTTGTGATCCTCCTGCCTCAGCCTCCGTGGGCACTGGGATTACAGACCTGTGCTATTGCACCTGGCTAGGGAGTTAGGTTATATTTTTGCCTGCCTGCGTTTTGTCTCTGTACTGAACATGTTTACATACACATACCCGCTGTATTGAAGAAACCATAGATTGGGTGTGTGGCTTCTGTAATACGGCTGAGGCAGGGAGATCACATGTTTGAGGCCAGCCTGAGCAATTTAGTGGGATCCTGTCTCAAAATTCACAGGGGGAAGGGATGTAGCTGAGTGGTAAAACACCTCCGTGTTCAGTCTCTAGTACTGGTAAGCACAACAGAAAGAAAAATACAAGACAGAAAAGGTGAAAATGCAAATCATGGTTCAGCTGGGAATGTGGCTTAGTGGTACGGCCAGGCAGGGGTTCCATGCTTGTTTGTAATTTATTTTTTGTTTATTTGTTGGTACCAGGTATCAAACTCCAGTCCTCGAGCTGGCGAGGCAGGCAGGCAGCAGCTCTGGGGTTCCAGACTGAGTGGTACATTATCGATGCCCCAGTCTGACAGGGCCAGTCTGAAAGCACATTCGTATGGCTAAGTCGGAAAAGGAATGTGGCGAGAATAGAGAGGCACAGAATTAGACCTGTCAACTGCTGGAAGTTCTGAATGCCCACTCACCCCTTGCTATCTGGTTCCTCTTTTTCCTCATCAGCCTTGTGAGTTCAACCTGTGAACGTGAGAAATTCCATGGGATGCCATCTTGCTTACAGGCCAAATTAGAGAAAACTGCAACCAAACCATATTCCCTAAGGTGATTTAAACTCTTGGGTCATAGTGAGTACCAGGTCAGTCTCAACTACATAGTGAGACCCTGTCTCAAAAAACCAAAAAAAAAAGCCTCCTGGGTCATCCAGCACCTTGGTGTGGTAGAAACTGTTGGGTGAGGAATATATTAAAACCGCCAAACTAGTTGGTGGGAAAATATTTGTATTTATCAATTACATTTCAGTCATGAAAATTCTAGAAGTTTATCTCTTCTAAGGCAAACTTGCCCTAAGTAACTTGCTTATGATAATGTGATTTAACAAATAATGTTTCAGCCAAGCGTGGTGGCTCTTGCATGTAATCCCAGCACTCGGGAGGCTGAGGCAGGAGGATCGCTGAGTTCAAGACCAGCCTGGGCTACATAGTGAGTTCCAGGTCAGTCTCAACTACATAGTGAGACCCTGTCTCAACTCCCCCGCCAAAAAAAACAACAAATAATGTTTCAATGACTTAATTGGGGTACTTCTGTGTTTTTGTTTTTTTTTGAGGCAGGGTCTTGTTAAGTAGCCCAGGCTGGTCTTTAACTTGTGGCACAATCTTCCTGCCTCAGCCTCCTAAGTGTTGGGATTACTGGCATGAGACACCATACCTGGCATTTTAAATTTGGGTATTTGAATTCTGATTTTAGGCAGACAGGACAAGAGGTGACTGAGATTTTTTTCCCAAAAAAACTGAGGTCAAGAGCCAGGGATTTAGCTCAGTGGTTCTGCCACCTGCCTAGTAAGCACAAGGACCCGAATTCGATCCCTGATACCATAAAAAAATTTAAAAATTAGGTCAAATGCAAGGCCTTTGCTCTGAGCTATACCCCCCCCACCTTTTTTTTTGTTTTTTTTAGATGGTTTCACTATGTAGTTGAGACTGACCTGGAACTCACTATGTAGCCCAGGCTGGTCTTGAACTCAGCAATCCTCCTGCCTCAGCCTCCCGAGTGCTGGGATTACAGGCATGTGCCACCAGGCCCGGCTGCCCACCCCTTTTTTGAGACAGGATCTTTATGGTCCCTAGCTGCCCAGTTTGGGGTTGAATTTGTGATCCTTCTGCCTCAGGCTCCCAGAGTGCTGGGATTGTAGGCGTGTACCACCATGCTGGGCTCCTTTCTGTATTTTAAAAAATTTATATTTTTCCATTTTTTCCTCATTTTACACAAGATACTTATTTAAACAAGCAGATACAAAACACGAAGGGGAAAGTAGCTTTGAC